ACCGGCAGATATACAAATGTGGATGTGAATGAGAGGGTATGTTTTCAGTGCAGTGAGAGTGTTGAGGATGAAAGACACGTTCTGTTGTATTGCCCTATGTATGATGATTTGCGTGAAGGTTTATATGAAAATGTCTGTTTTAGCTATCGCAACTTCTTAGATCTCTGTAATGATGATAAATTAGTTTTACTTTTTAAACACCATGTATATTTCAGTGCCAAAACCTTCTTTCATACCTTGCAAAGAAGAAAACATATTTTATTCGGATGGAATTTATACTGTATATAACCATATCATTATTTATTTTTAGTGTTATAATGAATTAACACATTAGTCTTTCATAACACTTAAAGGGTGGCTCACCTATATGTTATATTTTATAAGTATATCTATATATGTATTGTATGTGAGGTGAGACTGAAATAAAATATCTGTCTGTCTGTCTTCTCTTTTTGCCGGCACTTTAATTGGCTATAAGCGGATTAGGAGTAACAGTACAGTGCTTGCACAATTATAGTCTGTTCGAGTAAGTGGAGTTCACTCACCACCAAGTTCACTCACTGACCACTGGTGTTGGGAATTGGTTAAAATCTTATAATTGATGATTGGTTCATTACAACCGATCAATCATCGAAAATAGTTGGTTAGCGTTATTTATCAAATTGTCCTGGTTATGTTTGTTAATGTACGCAAAATAAAGAAAAAAACATGTAGTTCTTTCGGTTGTTTTGGCAAATTTCATGTCTTTAAAGGATGACTAATATGTTAGAAATATGAAGTGCTTATGAAGCGCAACAAACAAAACCAACCTTGTGATAAATATTGTCAATGCAAACAAGTGTTCCAAAATTGTTTGTGTTCGATTATGACAAAATGTGATCGATTGCTTAGTCATTTAGTCATTACGACCAAACTTCGATTATTTCAATCAATTGGACCACCACTACTGACCACACTGAACACAGTTCATAATGATTAGTGAACTCACTCATTATTTCCTGGTGTGATCTAAAATAAAGATAACTACATCTGAAATTTAACACATATATATGTATTTGTTGATGACATTTGCAATAAAATCTTAAAATTACAAATTGCAATATTGTGTATTTGTTGGTCTTACATGCAATATTAGTAAAATTTAAAAATGTCACGATATTTGTGAACTGATTCATATTCATGTATTTATTTACTTGCGGGTGTTATATGCAGCAGTGTGATAAACTTTACCGTTTCTCCTTATTTGCTGGCATACTTGCATTTCTACCACTGACTGTAGCCTTAATCGCCATGGTTCTAAGGATTAGTACGGTCCGCTGATTTTAATCCCTATACAATACCTGCAGGGTACACCCCCACAGGGACGTCGTTACGCCGTTACAACGCTGTTTACATAATACGTTTGTTAAACATCATTAAACTGTGAACATTACACCTGTGGTATAACTGCAGATTGCACATTTGGCGGGGTTAACACGACCTCGAGGTTGTCATTAGAGAGGTAGTCACAAAATAATCGATTGATTATGTGTTTAGTAGCGCCTGTTTCCCCTGAGATTTATATATCTGTGTGTGTGTGTGTGTGTGTGTGTGTGTGTGTGTGTGTGTGTAAATAATAATACTAATAAGAAGTCTTATAATGCGCTAATTTCCACGCAACAAAGCATGCTCTAAACGCTAACACCCTGATTATTATTACCCCGGATAACCCAAGCTGCCTGTTAGGCGCTAGAAGGTTATAGTCACATGACTTTATCCACCGGGTACCCATTTTCTGCTAGGTGAACAGAGGCAATTTTGAACAAACTCACTTGCCTATGGTGAGACTACATGTATCACATGTGCTTCGTTGTGGGTCAGGACGGAAGTCCTAGAAACTCTCAGGAGTCAAGCTGTCAAACACGGTCACCCATCCAAAGACTGTCCTAGCTCGCTGTTGCTTAACTTCAACTGATTCGTGACCTGAGCTCTGTGCACAGGACCACACGCCACCACGTGTGTGTCCCCGTGTGTGTCTGCATGTTTCCGTTTCTATCTCTTACACAAAATAATCACATTACACGAAGAAATTAAAGAATACGTATCTCTCTCTCTCTCTCTCTCTCTCTCTCTCTCTCTCTCTCTCTCTCTCTCTCTCTCTCTCTCTCTCTCTCTCTCTCTCTCTCTCTCTCTGTGTGTGTGTGTGTGTGTGTGTGTGTGTGTGTGTGTGTGTGTGTGTGTGTGTGTGTGTGTGTGTGTTGTGATATTGGGGAAAAGAAAATAAGCCAGACATCGTTACACAAAATATATTGGGGAAAAGACTATGAAACAGATATCGTTAAACATACTCATTTTTGTAAGTTACCAAATAACTACTAGCATGGCGTTGTAACTTGTGTTAGTTGGGGATGTCGCCACTGCGTGCGTTATTTTATTCATATCACAGCTGCCTGGCCAAATATGAGAGACTATGCGAAAGATCAATATTGTTTTAACGAACTAAGACGTAAATAGTTCCGACACACGACTATAGGATTCTGGCACGCCCAAGGAACCCATTAATGCAAAGTGGAAAAGCTATATTGAAGAATATATTTTTTGCGCAATGGTTTATTTCAGTTGGTTAGCCTTATCTATATTAATTTCACGATAAGCGAAAAGAACAGTATTGCAGAGCAAAAGAAATGTAAAAACTTCTACCATGATGTGAAACCGAGCACATGACATCAAAATAAGAAACACCTACACACCTCAGACTTGGCGTCAGGATCAGGTTCTCCTTGTTGCTTCATGTCATTATACCCAAATGGCGTAGTTATAAGGTGCTCATGACGTCAATCATCGGATTGTCTAGTCCAGAATAGATTATTTGCAGGCTGTCGTCATGTAGCTGGAATATTGCTGAATGCGGCGTCGTGCAGTCAACTAACAAACACATAATGCAATCTTAAAAAAATAGAAGAAACCCATAAGCCATTTTAGAAGATTTTTTGCGTTAGTTTAAGATCAATTATTTCATGTACATTGTAATTTCAATGGTGAAAAGGTGCAACTTCTATAGACAAAGACTTCGCCAACACCAGCAGCCTTTATTGTTGTGTTTCTGTTTGCCTGAGCCCACAAGATGTCGTCAAAGTCAGTGATTTGTATGGCCACCATTGGCAGCAATTACTGCTCGGCACCGTCTCGACACAGACAGAATAAGTCGACAAAAATCGTTCTTGCGGAATTCTTCCGCACTTTTCCTGCAACTCGATGCCCGCTTGTGGAAGTGTCTTAGGCGTGTTTTGACGTTGACGTACATGCCGGTGGAGTTCATTCCATAGGTGTTCTATCGGGTTAAGATCGGGTAATCGGGAAGGCCGTGGCAATACACTGAGGTTAGAAATGGCAAGGTAGCGGACCGTGACGCGTGCTGAATGAATTAGTGTTGTCCTACTAGAACAACTCCCTCTTTTTTTTTCTATTTTTGGAAGCATGTGACGTGCAAGGATTTCGTTGATGTACCGATTTGCTGTCAAATTCTCCTGAACCTCCACTAAATCAGATCTTTTGTGTGCTGTATATTACACCCCACACCATGACACTGTCACCACCGAATATGTCGGCCTGTCGAATGCAATTAGTGGTAAAATGTTATTTTGTTCATTTCATGGGTGGTAACTCTTAGACGGCCGCATCTCGGGCGATCTTGGTCTGCAGGAAACAATCCCAAAGGCGATATATGGTGCTCTGATGAACGCTGTAATGTCGGGCAACTGCAGACTGCGACCCCCCAGCTTCAAGGCCGTCCATGGCGATGTGTCGATTGGCGACCCTGAGTCGTGGCATGGTGATTTCCTCTTTTCCAGTCAAACACAAATGACGAAATTAAACACAACGTTTACCTTTGTATAGTGATCGATACTGCATGCTTTTCCGCTTACTTGATCGATACTGCATGCTTCTCCGCTTACTTACACGTGCATTTTGTTGGGGACGTTTTGGCAAATATGTATTTCTTCAAACGCTTCTACAACAAAGGGAAAAGTAAAAAAAAATCTTGTTTTGGTGCTGAAGTTGTTTACAATGCCACAAAGATGACGTTTTGGAAAAAAATAGCATACGTCTATTCTTTTTGCCGCAGCTGCACGATTCCAGTATCTCAAAATCACATATGCGTTTCTTTTCTTGAAGAGTGTATTGAACAAATCGCATACTTTCTTCATGAAAGCGTCTTGTGAACTGTGTAGAATGTTCCACCAGTGTACTGAGTGAGTGAGTGAGTTTAGTTTTACGCCGCACTCAGCAATATCCCAGCTATATGACGGCGGTCTGTAAATAATCGAGTCTGGACCAGACAATCCAGTGATCAACAGCATGAGCATCGATCTGCGCAATTTGGAACCGATGGCATGTGTCAACCAAGTCAGCGAAACTGACCACCCGATCCCGTTAGTCGCCTCTTACGACAAGCATAGTCGCCTTTTATGGCAAGCACATGGGTTGCTATTCTACCCCGGATCTTCACGGGACACCAGTGTAGTGGGGAGGTGGGGTAGCCTATTGGTTATCGCTCGTCACGCTGAAGGCCCGGGTTCGATTCCCCACATGGGTACAATGTGTGAATCCCATTTCTGGTGTCCCCCGCCGTGCTGCTGCTGGAATATAGCTAAAAGCGGCGTAAAACCCAACTCACTCACTCACTCCACCAGGGTAGTGCGGGTGTTTTTGGTGTCATCGGTCTTTTAGCCGGTGAAATCACCCACCCCGGTATTAAGGTCTTGTCTGTATCTGTCTATGACTGTTGCCGCCAAACATCTCAACTCGACTTGTTAAGGCAGCTCAAATCAATAACTGTAAGTTGATCGGTCATCAGCCCAATTGCTATAAGAGAATTGTGTGTAGCTTTCCACTTCCCATGTAGCCTGGGAAAACAGAAGTACAAGAAGTGACGTTACTTTGTCGTCTGCCATGCACTGGAAGGCACGCGACGTATAAAAAGGCGGGAAATCGTTTAACGAGGACCACCTCCCTTGCGCGAGCGCGGCACGAGGCACGCCGGCCGATAGAGTGAAGGAGACCAGATCCCGGAACTACTGGACAAGTCAGTGTCTGTTTGGAGCGACGGAGAACACCACGAAGAGAAGGGCTTCCGCGGGCAGGACATCAGAGAGTAGAGGACAACCGAGGACAGAGGAGAGGACCGGACAGTATCAGCCGCTAAGACAAATACACCCAGACTTTTCTGTGACTTTACCTACACCCGTGTTGACATCACAATCATCATCATCATCATGAGAGCGACTCTTTCCCTACTTATAACTATATGTGTACAACTTCCCGCCGGTCTAACGATACCTGTCAAGGTGAGTCAGCTTCTTTTTATATTATTTTGAAGGTTTACTTTGAAGTTGTGCTTTCCATGGAAACTGGTTTACAGTTTGACGAACTGGTGTCGATAAATGGAATAATAATGTTTTAAAAAGTGCAGCCGTGTTCACCGTTGAGACTTGTAAGATATTGATGTTAGGAAAGAATGTACAGTCGGAAAATCGAAACTAGACGTTCGCCATATTGACGTTGCAGTATTGTCTCATTAGTGATGAAAATTGATTTAGCTTAACGAAATACACTCACATTCACGTAAAAAATAAATAAATCTTCAATTACGGAATTATATAGATGACCATAGTGCGAGCTGATCGTTCGATGATTCAGCATTGTACAGAAACCACTTTGTTACTATCACCGATAAGATAGTGAATCGCGTTTTTTAAGGAGTCACCTTTTTGTATAACCTTATCTACCGTCGTGTGTGCGTATTTGTGCTTGCGTGTGCGCTTAGAAATTGAATGTAATCTACACAGTGATTCAACCGCTCGGAGTCGAGGTCCGGGCTCTGGTTTAGTTCAACAATTTCACAAGCAAGATTAATACGGCCGATAAAGCCAAACACTGGGTATTATCCACAGTTCACCATTACGAGTAACTCTGGGAAATATCGAGACACACGAGCTGTCACTGAGGAAGCCACCATTGACCATCGATGAAGTTTTACCAAAGTCACACGTAGTGAGCGTTATCACAGACAGACTTTATTGTGCAAGCCATGTTGGCCTCTGGTCATACGTATGATATTATAAAATTTAATACATTTTTAGGTGGTGAGGTTAACGATCGACAAATACATTAATTGTTATTTCTTAACTGAAAAGTTTGATATACATATTTACTTAATGAACGCTGAATATTAGTATTTTCTAAAGATAATAATTGTATGCATTAATAAACGGAATAATTTTTACAATAATATGTATTTAAATGAATACATCTCAAATGAGAGTATAGTGGACTTTGAAGTAAAAAGTGAAATTCATCTTCTAATTCTTGAGAATTACAATTTTTACACGATCATTTATCCCTGGGGATTTTCTGCTATTATAACTACCTGCTTCAATTGGTAATGTATGGGATGATAGCCTTAACTTACTTATTGCATATCTGTACGTGTTTAAAATTAAAAACATTAACAGGATACATTTCAAAACCAAATATTTCCTGAAATTGTTTATATAACTGATAGGTAGTAGAATGTCTAATATCACAGCTAATGTGGAGTTGATGGTGTTGAAGATTGAGCAGCACCGGTGACGTCGAGAACACCTGCAGGTGTCCAACACCTTTGTTCGTCATCTTAGGTGTCAAGTGATATCAGTCCGCCATCTTGTGTATTCTTGTTATTTACATGAATGGAAGGGAAAAAAGTAACAGATTGTAAAATTTTATGTCTCACTCATTACGTCTAAATCTGACTTCTATCCGAGATTTATCATTCCACTGACGTGGCAGTGGGTGTAGGAATGGAGATATTTCTGAACCATTGATTTATGATGTGTGAAAAGGTTCTGATTTTTGTGTGAAATATTGTGTCGATCGTGGGCATGATAACCCATTTTGTCATTCATGTCAAAGGAATATATCCAACATACGGAGACGCGTTTATGAACACCCAGGCAATATGTTGGCCCAATACGTGAGCCCCATGACGTCAGATTTGTAAACCTGTAAGCCCAGTTAGTAAGTCCATTGTTTAGTTCTATTGATTGTATGTGGCGGATTCATTAAATCTACCCACATTAGTGTTTAATTGAAGGGATGCCGCTGTGCATAGCTCAGATGTGAATCAAATGATTTTATATATGTTCTCACACCCGGCGCCACACAGTGCCACTGAAAGGGACCACAGCAGTTGTGGAATATATAGAGGATATTATATGAGTGCCTACATGTCATACTATGTTTACGACACCCGTGCCCAAATATTGGTATATCCCTCACTCTCGCTCGGGAAATACCAACATTTGGGCACGGGTGTCGTAAACATAGTATGATATAGGCACGAATATAATATTCTATTTATTACCGAAGTGGTCAAATTGAGGAAAATAAACCAAAATCTACTTTCAAACATAGGCTGCAGGCTACCCGCCGTCGCCGCATGTAGAACGCAACGTCATAGAAGAAACGAGACGTCATAGCATTGTTCATGACGTCACGTCACCACGCAAACTGATATTTTGCCCAAGGGCATCGTATAAAAAATATGAACCCTGATATTTTCGCCGACGTAAGTAAGAAATGATTATACACTCAGTCGTGCGATAATTTGTAGAACGACAAGTGCGATCGGGCAATCAGGGCTCACTACTTGACATTCTGCTATGAGTTATGGGGAGGGCAGGTTAAATGGGAGTGTCTACCCGGAAAAGAATGAGTTCACCGCCAAACCACACGCTCTACCCACCCGGTCACCCGACCCACCCAGTAATACTCAGAGATAAGAATGGGATCTCTTGAAGCACCTGAGGCGAACATTTGTTCAAACAAAATGTCAAGTTGTTTTCGCCAACAGATCTACGTGGTTATATCGTCAAGTCGGGTGGACACGCTTTCATGCTGGAATGTTGTCCAAATACGAGGACGTTAAAAGATGGTAATTATTGCTGCCCTGCCTGTCACTCGGCGTCAAAGGCATTAAATAGGAACGAGGAAAATGCCAGAAATGGCCTTCGTTATGGCCGATTTAACTTGTGTTGAATTTGAGCTTGGTTTGTATTCTCTCGACACATATTTTAACTACAAATGTCGGCATAGTGAGAGATTGGTAAGCATATAACATGGCTTCACAGTGAGATTGAACTAAAACAGCCGACCAGATATGTACAAGCAGCTTCAGACGCGTTAATGAAAAGCAATCTTAAATCCAAAGTTAAACCTCATCTCACCTTTTTCGTTTTAAGCATTATGGACATGGCCGCCGGGTTACGGCAAAACTGGCGAGAAACTGCCTTATTTCTTCCTTGCTTACAGTACAATGAGGTGTCCTTGCAAAAGCAATTTAGACGGCGATGCTTTTTGGGTTTACATAATACATGTTTTTTAATTTAAATTAAAACGGGGCTAGAATGAATCGGTGTAAATGTAGATATTTAATTACTTGCACTAAGCAATGTTTAATTTGCATGTATTTCCGTTGGTAACCTTTTTCACATACGTGAATCAAAGAACACAAACATTTCTAAAGATACCTCTACCACGCACGGAAGTAATATTATCTAGTTGAAGGACGCCAAACACGCACACGTAATCGCTTCTAGTGAAGTTTATGAAGTAAAGATAGAAAGATATTAAAAAGTAGCAGGAAACGAATCCATGGGATCATTTCTAAATGCTGTTCCTGGTTTGGGTTCATCGTCGCTTTAAACAATAAGTTGGAGGACTGCGCCAATTGATGACGCTTTCATATTGGGGGAAACCAACAAGAACTGTGGTGATCACCGATCACAGTCACCGATCAGATCCTGGCCATGCAACGCGAACCACGACGGCGTAAACCCGACAGATTACTGTGTGACTCTTACGTCCACCTGGGTGATGGAGTAGCCCAGTGGTTGAAGCGTTCCCTCATCACGCCGAAGACCCGGGTTCCATTCCCCACATGCACAATGTGTGAAGCCCATTTCTGGTGTCCCCCCGCCGTGATGTTGCTGGAATATTGCTAAAAGCGGCGTTAAACCATACTCACTTACTCATGTACGCACGCGCGCGCACACACACACGCGCGCACGCACACACGCACACGCATACGCACACGCACACGCGCACACCAATAACTAGGCGTCTTTACTTAGGTTGCTAAGAAGCAACAGAGGCATGACCATCTCGTGCCATGCTGTCGTTCTCATATAGCTTACAGTTGTTGGATTGTTTGTTGGTTAACACCACGTTCTGCCAGCTGTAAAATGACTGTCTGTAAGTAATCGAACCTGGGCCAGTCAGTAACGAGTAACGCGTCGCTTGGGGCAACAGAGTTACGATCGCCCGCTTTCAACCAAGCCACCCAGTCTGACCACCCAATCCACCGAGTCGTCCTTTTGATCACCGTATGCACTGTTTAATGGGATAGATTCCAACCCGGAATCACCACGAGGCCTACTGCTGCCATACCAGTAAGGTCTTGGAAGGGAAGTTAGAAGTGATACACATAACCAGGGGACATGTATGGATGTCAAACTGAGGAACTCTCCGTTTCGGAGAATATTGTTACTCCTCCGTCGTATAAAGAAGCTGGCATCCACACCCAACAACCTACACCCAAACCCCACAACCCACAACCCACAACCCACAAGCCACAATCCACAATCCACAACCAAACCCCACACCCCACATGCCACACCCACACCAGACCCCACACACCTCCGCATCGTCTCTAACATCGGGTAAAACGTCCTCTGTTGGCCAGACATGCACTGATTCTTCGAGGTATGCTTCTGAAATGTTCAACTGATGCCATATTGACTCATGTTTTTGTTCTAATCGTCAATGAGAACAGCACTGGTTTCATTGAGAGTGTTTGACGTTCCAGCTCTGTTCATTAGGTGAAAGGTCAGGACTTTGGTGTTGTATTGTTGAAGGAATTGAGTTCAATATCCTGGCAAGTTGCATATGTCCACGTGCATCACGAAAGGTGAAACGTTGCACGACATGCTGACGTAGCGACTACTGCAATGATGTCGTCCCGATTGCATTGCCTTGTCACTCTAATGGACAATATGGAGTGTAGTTCGACGGTCATTGTGATACCACTATACTATTATGGTCCGGTACCAAAAACAACCAGATACGTCCATAAGGCGGCCAGTTAGACGTCCTCAAACTCAATGGCAGTCAAGAGGGAACCATGATCCGTCAGAAAACCTGACCTGAGCCAAGAATCATTCCTCCAAATGCTGACGTTCCCCACACATCTGATTCAATTGGCGTGCCGTATTAAGTTGTGTTGTAACCTGCCCAGACGATGGCATGT